TAGGATTGAATATAAGCATTACACCAACTGTTTTTGATATTATTATTTTGTTTCTGTGTGTTGCATTACTTTAAAGTTCAAGTACTTTTGCTGTGCTGCATAAAATAAATAAAAATTTAAATATTACTTATGATCCATCTGTGATAGACAGACTATTTCTGTAAGTAATAGTATTACTGGTAATAGTATTTACTTCTATTATTATTAAAAGTTAATACGCATTTTGTAGGTGTTTTTTGGTTTGTTTTTGTTGTCTCTCTGGTAAGGTGTTTTTTCTATTGAAAATAAAGGTTATATGATGTTTTACAGATTTTACTAATGACTGTGTAAAATAACTGGTTACTAGTGTCAATTTTATTGGATTCTTGGAATTTTGGAAGTTATAATGAGGCGCAAATTCTTTATAGTATTTATTCTAATATTTATCATTCGGCAATCTATTTTTGATAATATGAGTTATATATTTTCATATCATTGCTAAAAATTAGCATGTTATCTTGCTAATAAGGAAATTACGTCATTTCAATTTTGTTAATTAATTATGTAGTTATCTGTATTGCTTATTAAGAAATATCTGGAATTTATTATTACCGCGAAAATGTCCACTATGTTAGTTTGGGTAGTTAGTTATACGAGTATAATTTTTTGTATATAGTTAAGTTTCATTTTATTGCTTTTAATTAATAGTATTATTATTAAAACATAAAATAGTGTGAATAATATTAAGCAATTTTTTTTGAGACTAGTAAGTCTTCACCTTGTTTCCTAGTTGCTAGAGGTTTCATGGCTATCTTATGTTGCTTAGGTCTTTCACTAACGCTTCCTTGGCTGTCAATCTATAATCCTCTATCTGTCCTTCAGCCTCTTTGTCTTTTCGTAGTAGCTGTGGTTACTACAGCTATGAGCGCACCTATGCGTGCTAATTCTGTATTTATTTTAGTTTGCCCAATTATTTCGTTCTTATTTTTTGTTAGTTCAGATCGTATACGAGTCTTTGCCTCTGCTCAGGTCTGGCTTGAACTCCTGGAGCTCAATGCATCCTCCTGTTCCTCAGTCTCTCCAGGTGTTAGTGCGTATGGATTGCAGGTGTTTCAAGCCGATCGACACTTTCTGGCCATGATTTTTTGTATTTTAAGAAAAATTATTTCAAAAAGATGTATTATTTTATAGTGGTGTCTTTGGTATGGTTTCTATTTGTTTTAACCATGTATTTTCGTTGACGGTTGATAATTTATGAGCTACTCAGTTCTGAGGTGCTGGAATTGTTTACTTGTGGTAGTTGTTTAAATAATGATATTAAAAATTACTTTTTCTAGGATAATATCAGTGGATAGATTTCTTTTTACAAAATCTTTACTTTTTTTTTCTTAAACACAGGAATCTAAGAAGAGGTTTGATACTGAGGAGGAATTTAAGAAGCGAGCATATCAGTGTGTAGTTCTGCTCCAGAGTAAAAATCCAGATATTATAAAAGCTTGGAAGCTTATATGTGATGTCTCCCGCCAAGGTGAGTTTCTGGTCTTCATTCATTTATCGGGCAAATACTATGCTTATAGCTTCCTGAGTCTTTATTTAGAATTGACCTTGAATGACATTTTAAACTTTTGAGGACAGGCAAATAGATTTTTTTGTTAAATATCTTTTTGAGACTGAAACAACTAATAAGAAAGTCTAATAAGATAGGCAGGTACAAAATTTAACTTTCTTAGAAGTTAGCAATAGTTAATCACAAAGTAAAGTGGAAAAGAAAAAGAAAGTATCCTATTCACAGTAGCAACCAAAGCTCTAAAATACTTAGGAATGAATTTATCCAGAAATGTATAGGACTAAAATGAAGAGAAATATACAGCAGGATGCAATGGAGTGTTTTGAATAAAGTGCCGTGCCAAGTGTTCCCTAGTTCTCCAAATGTCATTTATAATTTTAAAGCAATTTCGAGTTTTCAAACCTGACAAAATAGTTTTTAAGATTACTTTGAAGAGTAAGTGGGTAAGAATAGTCAGTAGATGTTTGAGAAAGAAGACTAATGATGTACTGGTTTGCAGTGCTGGGTAGTAAAATGTTTTATAATGCTACAGTAGGTAATTCAGTGTCACTAATGCATAGCTAGACAGACAGGTAAATGGTACAAATTAGGAAAGACACTAAGAAAATTTAATAAATATTTGATTGATCACCAAATAGTAAATGCTTTTTTCATTTACATTTTTTTAAGAAATGGTTTTTAAAAATTATGCAAGCAGTACATGTTCCTTATGAAAAATTAGATTATATTCTCACCCACTGCTATTATTTTGTATGTTACCATATTCTTTCCACTTTTTAAAAACGACAGACTGTATATGTGTGTGTGTGTGTGTGTGTATATATATATATATATGATCAGTACTTTATGTAATTTTCTTCCAAATAAATTTCTTTTAATGTAAAATACATATTTCCTGTTTATATTCTTGTGCATTTTCCTTATTTGGTGGCATTTTTTCCCTAGAGTTTAATAAAATCTACGATGCATTGGACATCTCTTTAATAGAGAGAGGGGAATCGTTCTATCAAGATAGGATGGATGATGTTGTAAAGGAATTTGAAAATAAAGGTAGGTTCTCTGCTTTTTATTTCTTAACTTTTTATTATAGGAATTTTCAAACATAAGCAAAAGTGAAGAAAATTTATAATAATCCCCAACTTCACATACTCATCACCTTTCAAAGATTATAAATACTGGTCAACCATATTATATCTATACGTTCTTATACATACTGGTTACATGTAATTTCATATATAAGTGCTTTGGTATGTGTTTCTGAAAAAAACAGGCCCTTTCTCTTGCCCTGAAACTACAACATAGTCGACCCTTGAACGACACAGGCTTGAACTACACACAGTTATTTTGGTTACCCTGAGGTGCAGTTCATGTAAGACAGGAGTGTAAGTGCTTAATTCTTTTTTCTTTATTAGTCAGATGTTTCTTAGCATCTTGCAGATATGACGAGTTGATTTTAGCATTATTATAAATGGGTTATATTTTCAATTACCTTTATTCTTTGGGAAGATTGTCCCAATTTTGGCTGATGGTAACCTCTTCAAATTGGCTTTCTGTTTTATGTTGTATTTTTGTTTTGTTTTTCTCAGCCCCTCTAGTCCGGGATAGTTTAATAGCTTTATGGTATATAATCCTCCAGGCTCATTTTGTACAAATCCTGCCTCAGATCTGGGATCAGTCAGATCTCCAAGGAAGCCAAGTTCCTTGAATGAGAAATAGTATTTATTAATCACAGTCTCTGGGGCCTAGGGACCATATTTTTAAGGTAATAAAATTTTAAAGATGTTTATTTTCTGAGAAAATAGCACAAGAGAAGCGAATGACTTCCCAAGGTCACATAGCCTATAAGTGATAAGTCTGAGATATAAACCTAGGCAGTCTGGCTTCAGAGCTTCAATTTTTAGCCACTATTTTGTACTGCCTTTACCTTACCAAGCCTCAGTTTTCTGAACTGAGAAAGCACAAAGTTATTTACCATGTAGAGTTACTGTGAAGGTTAAAGTTAGGTGTTAGTATTGGCACATAGTAGCACTCAGATATACAACGGTTGTTGTTGTCATCATGGTCTTTTCTGTCCCTTCTTGCAGTCAAGAATTTTGCCTTTTTCATCATGAGTAGGTGAACATGATTTTTTTCATTTTCATTTCTCATTCCAAATGCTAAATTCTGCCATGTTTGTTTGCTGGACCCTGGGACATTGTTAACTTCTTTACTGCATGTAGTGAAAAGTCAATATAGGAACCCCAGGAATTTGAGGTTGCTGTGAGCTAGGCTGACGCCATGGCACTCACTCTAGCCTGGATAACAAAGCGAGACTCTGTCTCAAAAAAAAAAAAAACATGAGACGTATCAACACCAAGATGTACCTCTGGGTGTGAACTGGGAAGGACTCTACACCTGCTCTTGCCAAGACTGCATAACTGAATATAATTGTGAGGAAATATCAGACAAATTTAAGGGATATTCTACAAAGTAACTGATTAGTCTCTTCAAGTGTCAAGGTCATAAAAGTCAAAACACCAAAGAACTGCCCATATTAAAGAAGATTAAAAGGATACAATAACTAAATATGTTATCCTGGATTGGATCCTGGACTAGATAAAGGAATTTAGTGAGACCAATGGTGAAGCTTAAAGAAGGGCTGCAGATTAGTTAATGGTATATCAATGGTAATTTCCTGATTTTGATAATCACACTATAGCTATGTAAGATTAGTATTTGGAGAGGCAAAGTGAGACATTCGGGAATTCTGTGTATTATTCTGCAAGTTTTTTAAGGCTGAGGCTGGGTGTGGTGGCTCATACCTATAATGCTAGCACTCTGGGAGGCCAAGGCGGGAGGATTGCTGAACTCAGGAGTTTGAGACCAGCCTAAGCAATAGTGAGACCCATCTCTACTATAAATAGAAAGAAATTAGCCAACACAAAAATAGAAAAAGAATTAGGCGGACATGTGCGTGGCATGCCTGTAGTCCCAGCTAACCAGGAGGCTGACACAGGAGGATCGCTTGAGCCCAGGAGTTTGAGGTTGCTGTGAGCTAGGCTGACACCATGGCACTCTAGCTGAGGCAAACAAGAGTGAGACTCTGTCTCAAAAAGAAAAAGAGTATAGAGGAAAAACTATTTTTTGCTGGTAATGGAAAGAGAATATAGGTGGAGAGGATATAGCCTTATGGCTTGCGTGCACTCTCTGGATTGTCAGCGATCTACCTAAACCAAACAAGAAGGCTTCTCCTCAAAGTATCTTTTTATGTGTTTGGCTCTTTCATGTCTACATCTCCTATTCTGTTTCCCCTTCTGTAGTTTTACTCTTCTGCATGTCCATTCCAAAATATCACCTCATTTTCTGGAAAGAAGAAATAAGATACTCTGCATCTCAATCCTTGACCTCTGCTCTGATACTACCATCTTCAAAAAAATTGTTTTTCTTGTTGACTTTTCTTATTTGAAAAATTCCTCCAGACTCCACACAAACCCAACCATAGTCCTTTCTATGGGTGCTATGAAAGCCATGACGTTGCCTGCCTCGATGACTCATCATGGCCTTGGGTGGTAAGTGTTGGCTTTTATGACTAACTACAAATGCTCCCAGAGAAGGAGCCTCAGCAAATGTAGACTCTAATGTTAGCTGAAGAATCAACCCCCTTTCTGTCTGCAATATTCTCCTGTCACTGGGAACTGCCACCAAGAAGCAGAGACACTATGCTATACGACAAGGAGGAAAAAACCATGGCCTTCTGTAATAGTCAAGAAAAAACTACAGTTTCAAAGTAAATGCTGCAGCAATTCACGAAACAAACTTACTGTGTAATAAAATCTAAACACCATCAGTCAGCCCTAAGGTGTGTGACTCCTTATAATTCTCCTCAGTTCTCTCAATGAAAACAAAAATGAAAAATCATGACGCGGTACACACTATGCTAATAAGGCCTTGGATTACCTTGTCCTTTCTTTTTCCTTCAATTTGTCATGGATCGTTTTAGTCCTTCTTCCAGAAGGTCTATGAGGCGCACTGTTTCACACTGAACGTGTTTTAAACTTCTTCCTAAAAAATTTAAAGCCCCAGTTAAACAGATGTTTGAAACAGACCTTTCAACCTTAGAAATCTCTGAAACTTTTGAGGGACCTGACCACAAATGGTAACATATGCCTTTTTAAATTCTATTGTACAGGTTTCCCAAGAACTATTAGAGAGGGCCATGCAGATGTTGAATGATATTTAAAAAAAAAAAAAAAAAAAGAGGGCTTGATGGCCATAGTAACACTGCCATATTCCAGTTGGCAATAGGGAGGGTGACAAAAGACAGGGTGCTTCAAGTGTCCTTTATCTAGCCCTCAGCTTGAGTATCCTATGCTTTAGCCCCTAATAGCACTCTCTCCATATTCACCTTTAATACATCCTAGCAGGGAAAGAAAGAAGATATTGTTAATTTATCACTTTCCTAGAACATAAAGTTTGGCTTAGTTGTTTACCTTCTTTAGAAAAATTATTAATAATACATGCTTTGCTTCTAGAGTTGTTTGAAAAGTCAGCAAATTCTTTACTGGCATCTCCATTGCATTTTTCTATCTAAGTGAGTCCTCTTGTCAGTGGTAATCAATCCTGGACGCATATCAGAATGCTGAAGAAGTTTAAAAAAATAGGATGCAGTCCCCATTCAGATCTATTGAAATCAAGAATCTCTGTTGAATGAGGCAACCACTTATAAGCACTGCCTGGGCAGTTGCACTACTAAAAAGCATTTGAGAAACTGGATTATACTTAGTAACACAGCAGAATGTTATGTGACACCCAAGTATATAATTTGTCTTTTTCTTTTTTTAGGTTAAAAATCCTTCAAACATAACAATGGTAAATTGAAGACGGTATTCTAATATTTAACACAAAGCCTATCAAAATAAATGTGATACTTTGTACTAAAGTTATTTTTAGAGCTTGCTTTAGAAAAGGATTTACTTGCCCTTAATCACAGAATTAAAATTATTCTATAAATGCCTTACATACTTGCATGGCTTTCTTTTGGCCATACCTCTCCTTCTTGAGTGTCCAACTTCCAAATCTCGATGAATGACAATCGTTGTAAGCCAAGTCACCAGACTGAACGAAGCCTTCCTTAATTACCTCTTATTTTGCCAATAACTGG